TATTTAAGAAAAAAGATTTCTCTATTCCAGTATCTGTTATGGCTCTTTCTAGTGTATGTGGGCTTTTATTTCTAACCTTCTATTTGTATGGAATATTAACATCTTGATTATGACATTATTTTCTCTTGGAGATACATGTGCTATACATTTTTGTTGTTGCTGCTGTTGGTAGTCTTCAAGTGATATGGTTTCTGGTTTTTTCGTAAAGTTCTTTGTAATTCTGTAGAGCCAGTTCGAAATGTTCAAAGAACGAGGATCTTTTCCAAGACTCTTAGACTTTTTTCGCCATTGATCTTAAGAAGTGGTTGTAAACAGCTGACAGATTAGATATTTTCGAATGTGTTTTGGCGCCATAAATAACATTCATAACAGTCTCGATCTGAAGGTATCTAGATAGAAAAAAAAAATTTTTTTAATCAGAAAAAAGAAACAAGGACACATTACACAGTAGATAAAGCCGTTTGTTAGATCCAGTGACAGGACTCAAAAAGTGTGAGCTCAATACCCGGTTAAGGCAGTGGAGAACTTGGAGAGGGGGATTAACAGGAGATAACTGATAACTGACATCCATTAAACATGGCACGTGAAAGTATAACAGTCTACCCTAGTGAGCGAAATAAAGGGTTCAGTTCAACATTCCAACCACCTGAAGAAGGCCAGAGCGTACAACGGCCGAAATGTTGTAATGATAAATATGGCAACAAAGATGAGGACAATAGCCCGAATAATGTAAATAGTGTACATAATTCCTCATCTCAGAAATATAGACAGATACTGAAAGGCCGAAACGTTGTAATAAATATGGCGACAAAGATGAGGACAATAGCCCGAATAATGTAAATAGTGTACATAATACCTCATCTCAGAAACATAAACAGATAAAAAAGGAACAAGTTCGTAAAAAAAAAATCAATATTAAAAGGCAAGTAAAAGATTGATAAAAATATTTATTCGAAAGAAAATGCAACGTCATCAAATATTGGTATGAAAGGAGAATAAATTTGTATGTTAGTCGTCAACCAGTTCTTTCTGAATTAAAGAAACTACTTCCTATTTTAGCGCAAAAGGAAAACGTCACTCGGCCTACCCGTTACCTCTATATCGTGATGAATATCAGAGGTTATCATTATATACAGTAGTGCATACGTCAATAATGAAGTTTCAGAGACGTAAAGAGAAAACTGCCATTAAATTGGCTTGAAAAGAATAATCGATAGGTTTTATAGTTTATTAGTGTCAGTTGTTAAGAGAAAAGGTCTTACAAATCGCAGCAGATAATCGATGAATCCACAGAGAATAGACGTTTCCTATCGATACTTATTGATTTTTAAGTTTTCACGTCATCTTGTATACAATCTAAATACGTATCCTGTCATCAGAATTTTTTATTAGTTTTCATGGCTGTTCAGTTTATTGTTTCCTCTCTTTCCCGATTTTTCTATTAACTTAGGAGTCGCGGATTTCTGAAAGTGTTAATGAGCTTGTTTCCACAGCTGAGGTGTCAGGTACGGTCTTTTAAAGAAGAACCTATTCTATACTTAAAAAAAAATCAACATTGCACATTTTTCCAATTACCCGGATTCTTCAATCTGTTGTAAGCTGGGGCAATAAATGGCTTGTTATTTAAAAAAAGAGTTCCTAAAACCAAATTTCTCTCTTTTAACCGTCTTAGATAATCTTATTTTGCCTTTTATCAAGATGGCTGATGCTAACCATCAGTAGAGAAATTCACTGAAGCTTCTGAACCTCCGGTTTCGCAGTGACTCGAATTAGAATGTTTCTGCTAAATTAATCGTTATTACTGCTTATCGAAAAGTCGGTGTGTTATATCGTGCTAGATATTTTTATAGCCAGAATCTATCTTAAACATTTATAAGTCAATTAATCGTCTGTGAATCCAATATGGCTGCCACATCTGATCTGGTACTTCTGAAATCTGTCTAGATATCCGTGAGAAAATAAAAAGAAACATCAATATTATTCGTCCTGACTTGGCATATCGACTTCAGTCACTTTCCCACCGACGTAACTTTGCTTCCTTTTGCCACTTATATAAATATTTTCATGGTAATTGTTTTTTTTATGAGATTTCCTGGCACGTACATCGACTTCACGAATTTAAGTGCAGTACTAGATTGGCAGTTAGGTTTCAGAATGTCACTGCTGAAATCGTTACTTGTAACCATAATTTCTATGCTAATTGTTTCTTCTCATGCACTTCTTGCGTGGGGACTCACTTCCTGTTTTCCTGTTAACTCTTATCTTTAGAAATTGAAATTTTATGTCAATCGTTATCTTCTGTTTCCTTAAATCATATTCTTTTATTGCTCTTTCTTTCGCTCTCAATAACACCGTGTGTCTTAGTGGCTTTATTGCCTTGCTTAGAGTGATATGATTAAAACATTACATTATTTTTAATATCTACTTAATTGTGCAAAACCTGCAATAGGTTGTCTAAAATTTCTTTATTATTCAGAGTTCATTCAAATTGTTTGCTGATTTTGTTTAGAGTCATATCAATCTCTATGGTTTATTTAATGTCGAAATCGAAATATTTTAAATTCAATTTTATGTCTTCAACTGAATATATTTTGTACATCATTTTATACTTTTTGAGTAAAGGTATGCTTTTTTGAATATATTGTTTATAGATAATTACAATATATTGTTTGCAATTTTACTATAAAAATGTATTTTCCTATTTTGTTAGTGTTATGAGCCAGTTCCTTGTACCACGGTAGAACCAATAAAGAAGAACTCGAACACATATATGGAATAACACAGATATATTACAAACAGGAAAATATACTGAGAAGTAGAAAGTGTTAGTACGAACAATCAGGTTTAGTAGTAATTGTCAGAACGCGACTCTGTTTCGGACTGCCTCTGACTCGACTGACTAACTCGACTGACTGACTCGCTCGCTCTGACTGACTGACGGACTCCTGACGGACCTCACTCCAGACTTCAGACTGAACGGTATTTAGTCCCCGCCCCCATGAGGGCATCATGTGGCACAAGGCCGGTTTAACGTGGCATCTCCGAGCCCGTGGGCTCGACCAAAAATATGCCCTTTGAACCCGTATAAACGGGTTCAGGGTCGGTTTACCTCCCCGAAAGAGACCCCGCCCTTCGGCGTAGCCTCGTTCGGGTTCCTCCCCGCTCGAAGGCAGAGAGTTCAACCGATCAGCCGATCAGCCGGTCGTCTGGCTTCGGACTGAACTCCCTGCTTCCTCTTGAGGCGCAGTATTTATTACGTATGGAATAGTCCATTATGTTATTATGAGTAAGGTCCCATAACAGTTAGGGTTGTATTAATTGTTATTTTGCTATAAAAACGTATTTTTGGTCATTTTATTATAAAAAATTACTGATTGTCTTTGGGAGTTCATATTTCACCATAACAGGCCATCCCATCGGGTCATGCTGAGCCTCGGAACAACAGCGACAAGAGGGGGTTCCAGGCTCCTGAAAACCATTCTCTCAGTCAGGGGTCTTGCTGCCAGATGTAGTTTATAGTTCATTTAAATTTTTGTATCAAGTTTGTTGTTTTTATTCATAATGTCCTCTATAAGCTACAAAGAAAAAGAAGTTGTGGAGAGGTATGATCGCCTATGTCCTGAAGGAACACAACACTTAGAAGAAGACAGAGAGTAAAAATATGACTAAAGAGGGGTGTCTGAGGAAAGGATAAAAAGAAGCACTGGGATCAAGAGCAAGGCGTCAGAAGATGTCGATTGATATTAAATTTAAATTTTTCAAGACTATAGTTATCAGTGAATCAAGTAAGAGGAAGGGAGTTCCACTGTCTGGAAGTGTGAGAGAAGGGGCTGTTGGAGTAGAAGAGCAGTTGCATTTAACTGTTTCTTCAGTGAAAGGGTGTGACCGAGATGCCGACCTAGTAGCACGCTTAAATTCATGCAGTTGGGGTACCGGTGAAAGTAGCTCGTCAGAGCAGTTGCCATAAAAATATTTGTAGAAAAGACAGAGGGAAGCCACATTACGTCTGTGAGAAAATGACTGTAGACAAGATGCCAGGTCATGACCTATCACATTGCATAGTCGTCTTTGGATTTACGGTATATGATTCCAATATAAATATGTTACGTTTGTATCACAAACACATAACGTAAGGTTTAATGAGTCAAAATCAAACCTCCTGATTTTGTTAATGGACGGTGGCACTTTAGCGAAGTTGAATCAACATGATGAACAAATGCGCCATCTCAAGGACATATGAACAAAGAGAATTAACTGATAAGAGTTAACGTCCTTGTCATAAACAGCGGAATCATTCTCTCCCCGAGGAAGACTCGTATTTAAAGAAAAACAGAGGGCGCCCTATAGATATTTATTTAGTCGGACACAAGTGGAAAATGTTTCCGAGACAAATCTTCTAATTATAACTCGATGTCAGCTTCCCGTAATATTTTTCTTCCGGCCACAGAAAAATTTTTAAGAGATACTTACTCATTTAAACAAACAAGTGGACATTTTTAATTGTTGAATAAGTCAGTAAATAAATCAAGTTAGAAAGCAAAAGAAATTGTGTTGATAAATTAATTATGAGAAAAAAATTTACATAAAAAAAAATAATATTTCTGTTGAGGTTCTTTTATTTATTGCAAAGCTGTTGAAATAGTATATCAGAAAAGATAATTTGTGATTAATGAATCATGTCTCTTAGGATAAAATGAATTTTTCTAGCTTTGAAAAGTCTTTATTAAATGAATGTTGTTCTTCTGCCTGTGCACTTTTGATTTTAAATTGAAAACCTCGATATTGAATAGCGTTTAAACGGAGAGCAGTGTTGGACATAAAATTGGCGATAACGTCAACTGTAAATTTATCACATTGACAAAATGAAGGAAGACAAAGTGATGAGAGCGAAAAATGTTACAAAAAGAAAAAAAAAGAATCAGTGAAATAAAGATAATTGAAGAGTAGGTATAGTTAATAAACTTGAGAATAAAAAAAATTGAATATATGATTAAAAATGATTAAAAATAATTAAAAATAGCTCTAACGTTAAAAAAGAAGAAAAAGATGATGAAGAAAAAGATGGAGAATAAGAAGAAGTAAAAAAAAGGAGAAGTTAAAAGCAGAAGGAGAAGAAGAAGCAAGAAAGAAGAAGAATAAAGAAGAAGAAGACAAAAAAAGAAGTAGAAAGAAGATGAAGAAGAAGAATGGGAAGAAGAAAAAGAAGAAGAAAAAGATGAAGAAGAAGAAAGAAGATGAAGAAGAAAGAAGAAGAAAGAAGAAGAGGAACAATAAGAAGAAATAGAAAGAAGAAGATGAAGAAGAAAGAAGAAGAAGAATGTAAAGAAGAGGAAGAAGAAGGAAAGAAGATGATGATAATGAAAGAAGAAGAAGAAAAAAGAAGAAAGAAGAAGGAGGAGAAGAAGAAAACAAAGAAGAAGAAGAAGATGAAGATGAAGAAGGAGAAGAATGGAAAAAGAAAGACGAAAAATTAAAAAGAAGAAGAAAGAAGAAGAGGAAGAAGAAAGAAGAAAAAGAAAGAAGGAGAAGAAAGAAAGATGAGGAAGAAGAAAAAGAAGAAGAGGAAAGAAAAAGAAGACGAAAGACGAAGAAAGAAGAGCAAAAAGAAGAAAAAGAAGAAAAAGAAAAAGTAAGAAGAATAAAGAAGAAGAAGAAGAAGAAGAAAGAAGAAGAAGAAAGAAGAAGGAGAAGAGGAAAAAAGAAGAATAAAAATGAAGAAAATTTATTTTAGAACAAGTCAGAGAGATAAATGGACTGAATTGCAACAAGAGAAATAAAAGAAAAAAAAACTTGTTTTGCTGTCAAAGCCACAATTTAAGAAAATGAAAGAAGGGAAAGAAGAAAAAAGCCTGGCAAAATGAGAAAGGAACGAAAGTCGAAAAGAGATCCGGAGAAAATTTAAGAAAAATAAACATTAGGTTATCAGACAATGGAAAATTAATTAAAAGAAAAGAATTAGAAAAAGAAAAAAAAATCTTACCCAAAATGTCATGGAAATGCGTAATAATCATTTGTTATTACCCTTTGTAGCTCATCGTAATGTTTGTATTTTTACTATCCGTTCCCCTTCTTGTTCTGCCATCCATTTACACACACTCGTTAGGTTGGTTACTCGCGGATTCTTTCTTTCCCGCTCACCTTCATTTTATCCTATGAGTGTCAATTTTTCCATGGCATACTTCTTCGTTGTTCAACTGTTTTTTTTTTGTTCCTCTTTTCTTCAATATATTATGTGAGTGTCATATTTTCCAATCCTTTTTTTCTCATTATGTTTCCAAGAAATTTCAATTTCTCGTTCTGATTATAAATATAGAGAGTACGGATGGGTAAATTGCCACCGTTTTATATTTTAACTTCGTGTATGCATGTTGTTTCTTTTTTTTTTTTTGTCACCTGCACAGTAGAGTAGGGTCAGTTGGGCACCGTCTGTGAGAAAAAGAGCACCATGACGCAATCCACACCACCAGAAATTTGGAAACGGCATACTGTTCATCTTGGCATTCGCACCGGAAGCTCTAATACGAACAATTCAGAGTGATTGTGTGTCAATCTGAGGAGAGATCAGAAGATTCGGAAAGAGTTGGATGAGTCTAATGTTGATTACAAAGATGTTTGGAGTGGTTACGTTTTGCTTCCATTTATCTTCCGACAGGGCATCAGACTCAACACGGAGGAGTACATCAGTTACATTGGGTTGGTAGTGCTGTCCTGTGTCAAGATGGTGCCTGTTGGCAACAGTACTCTGCACCGTGCCACACAAGCAGGAGAATCCATTCATGCCTAGCAGAAAAATTATGCGACTACATCATATCTAACATCTGGCCACCTAACTCCCCAGACTGCAACGACGCTGATTATTATGTGTTCGGCGCAGTTGAAAGAGAGACCAACAAATCTCCTTGTAACACCAAAGATGAACTGAAGGCAAGGATTATGGCAGCATTCACCAACTTGTTCAAAAATTAGAAAAATAAAATAAATAAATGTCACATGTGTGTGTTGACTCATTTTTATATTTACATAAGTCTATCCCTGATATTGAGCATATCTTAAAACTATATATATATATATATATGAAAAGAAGTTACATAAAATAAATAGACAAAACTTGTCTGTATTATTTAATGAAACATGCATCAATGAAAAAATGCTGCCTAAATACACACAATTTAAATTAGATGATCCAGCAGCCCACTAAACTATCAACACTTTCATTGGTTTTGTGAACGACAATGGCCCATAAAGCCAGCCATCAATCTTATTTCTTGTGGCATATCAAATCATCTCCAGGTGATAGAATTTGACTTTGATCCTCATAATTTTCAATGTGCCTTTTCATATGCCTTGTCTGGCCTGACCTGGACTTGCACACTCTAATGCAGTTGGAGCATCCAAATCGTGCCATTATGAAATCGTCATATACAATAAACTGTTGGTGTGATTTCTGCTGACTGAGCAGACCCACCCTGGATAGACATATTCGATTTTATTGGGCACATGGCCAGGTTGGCAACACATGGTAATTCAGGAATCCCTTCTTAATCACTTCCTTCAGTTCTGTATATTTTAGTGATGCCTCACGGAAGATTTTGTCAGCAATACCAGCTCTCCAAGAAAGCTAGTTAGCCGTGGTTGAAGCCAATGGCGATTTTTATTGATTAAATTTATTTGAAGATATTTTTGTGCAATTTTGGTAAATATACCTGTTATTTTGATTTTTTTTTGCTGCGTAATTTAGACGACAATTTATCCATCGCACCCTGTATGTGTCATTTTTATTTTCATTTTACTTAACCCTTCCCCGTTGCTCACATGCTCTGCTGGTAGTATTCTAGCATCTTCCTGTGAGAAACACATCTCAGTTGCCTCAAGTCTTATCTTTATCTGTGAGGAAATTTTCCACTGCCACATGCTTCATGTTATATGACATTTACATAGCAGTTCAGTACTCTTTTTTTTTTTTTTTATTTCTAACGAAACAATTATTTTAGCCTTTAATCGAAACTCCGTGCTCCTTGTTAGAAATTAATCCATGGATTCTGTTTGTAAATTACTTTTCCTAAATGCCACTAATCTAGAGCTACGATTGTAGTTCATATGTTGTCGCTACGACCTTTAGAGGCTACCAAAGCCGTGTTCATAATGTCTCAAAGATCTAAATAAAGATGGCAAGACCAACGATTTATGGTCTTCTTTTAGACGAAGTAAAACTTAATAATTAAGTACTACTTTGAACGGCAGTTGCTTAGGAACATTAAGCTGAGTAAACGGCCTTTGACCAGGTCATAAAAAAAAACGAATAAATAATTAAATATGGAAGCAAAGAAGCGTCACTTTTATTTTGGTCAAAATTTAAGGATGAACTGAGGATGAAGCAAATGTTAATTGCATTACCCTGTTTCTTCACCTGACCTCTGGCACCTCCAGACAATAGATTCATGACATAAAGCATTCCTAATTCCCGCCATTCTTATATATTATTTACATCATCATCATCATCATCATCATCTTGACTTTTGTAATCATAGGGTGGGTTCGAATGCAGAAGCCACACTAACTCATTTCCACAACGGTCTACCAACCTCAGCTATCAGCAATTCTGGTACAGTCATACCTGTCCATTGTTTGACATTGTCCAACCAGTTTTTGCGTTGGCGCCCTCTCCTACGTCCATCTTCAACGGAGCCTTGCATGGTGGTTTTGCACCGGCAATCGTACCTTGTAATGTGTCTAAACAATGCCATTTTTCTCCGTTTGAGAGTGGCGAGAAAAGGTTACTGGTGGCCCACAAAAATGTCAACACTTTTGCGCACAAACTCATTGGTTTTATGTTCCCAATAGAAGATGCCAAGGAGTTTCCACATGACTTGAAACGCTTGAATCTTTCTCTTTGTTTCTGCCAACAGTGTCCACATTTCACATCTATACAGGAGAATGAAGACTACTATTTAGCATCCATTATTTAACTAAACATGACTAAAAAGACGAAATAATAAAAAAAAGAGTGGTAATAATCTACTGAAAGACATTATCTTCTCTTATAGGCAAACAAAGTCACCAAGTCTTTGGTAAGGACGGGGTTGTAGGATATCTACGGACGATAATGGATATGTCCCCATTCCTATAAATACAGTAGTAAATACTGTATGTTGGTGTGCAGTCGGAGATTCGTCTCCAGCTGAGCTGATCAAACTCTCTGCCTCTGGGCAGAGAGAATCCCCAGGCGAGGCTATGTCGAAGGACAGAATTTCGTCTCGGGAAACAGCTACCCGACCCCGTTTTATACAGTGGTCTACGGAGAATTTTTGGCCGCGAGTACGGGCTCGGATCCACCACATTAAATTCGGCCGTTTACCACATCTGACCGCGTGGGTAAGTTGGTAGATATCCTGAATTTGGAGATTCATTGTGGAATTCAATTGATTCACTTCTAGCCGTTGACTACTTCTATGCGCTGCTGCCGAATCTTATATGTGTTGTTCGTGTCCTAAGTATTATCAACCTTCATTCCCAACCTTCATGTAATTATTCTGTTCAGTAACCTTCCATAGGTTACAACAAACGGGAAAAATAAAATGAAAGAGAAATAATATAGGAAAGACATAAAAAGAAACAATGCAAAAACTTAAAATTAAAAAAAATTAAATGAGATCACGTCATATCTTTTATTTATTTATTATAAATTTTATTAGTCAAAGACAATAGATGTTGATACCACTTAGTCTTGAAAGAATTCTTACTACCAATATAGAACTCTTTTGACAGTCGCAATCTCTATTGTAGAGATAGTACAAAGATTAACAAGATATTTAGCTAAACATTTGTTTGGAAATGGGCATTGGTCAGGATTCCTACAATTACATTGGCCAATATCATTAACAATATTTCACTTGAAACTTGTATTATGATTCATATTATTAAATTGGTTTAAAATGTTATTATTGTGTAACTTACTCTAACCACTCTCCATTTGTAACCCAACATTTTCCTTCTTCTGTAAAACGTACAATTAGAAATTACTCATCGGACAAAGATGTGTTTGATAAATATAGCGGTGTATATAATAAGGTTCTAAAGAATAGTAGTTGTAAGTACGCTGAAATCAAGTCTCTTGACATATTTATTTACAGCCTGCGACAATCTATTCTTTATTTCTTCATAAATGATTTCAGGCCACAACCTAAATGACCAAACACATCAAATAAATTGAAAACAAATAATTAAAAAATATAATGGCACAAAAATATCATTAATATTCGCTCATTACCTCTGCTGTCGGTCCTTCGCCATTTTGTAAACAAAGAAAATCAATTGTCGAATCTGAATTATAATCGTTTTTCTATTGTAGACTCTACCTCGGGAGTATGTTTTTTAATGTGTATTTATAAGTATTTAAGAACACTTGTCCGATGTTAATTTTGGAGAAAGTGATGGTGGGGATTGAACCATATTATATTTCTTTTTCTATATCTACGTTTATTATTATTATTATTATTTACTTGTATGGTTCAAGTACAAAAGTTTTTTTTTTTTAAACCACATTTCGGAGTGCCCTATTGTACAATACTTAGTTTTTATTACAATTTCTATTTACTAGAGAAAAGGTTACTAATCTTAGTTCCGACAGTAATAGGTATCTGCCTCAAAATAATATCAATGTGGTTCGCGTCTGCAGTAATGTAGTTAGGAGTTTCATGATAGGGTGCTCCAAAAAGGTGGTTTTAAAAATAAACTTGATTTAAATGAATTCATCC